CCCCCACCCCCCACCCCCAGTGGGCTGGCTTTCCAGCACCTGGTCAAAGCTGAAGGACGCCGTCGCCAACGTGGGCGCCGGCGGCCCAGACCCCCCGCTGCCCACGAAGGACGACCCGGATTACGACGCCCCCACCTGCGAGGAGCCGACCTGCTACGACAGTGATGCGCCGCCGGCGCGGAAGGAGGGCGAGGACGATCTGGGTGAGTCGTGTCTAGGGAAAGGAATGGGGGTGGGGCGGGCGGCGCTGCGGGTCGGCGCTGGGGAAAGCGGAGTCGCGTGGGCCCGGTGGCAGGGCGGGGCGGGCAGCTCCCTTTCGCCGCTTGGCCGGCGCTGCCCGGGCTGCGGGCGTGTGGGGCGGTCGCCTGGCGCCCCTGGCCCACTGCCCAGGTTCCCTTGTCATCGTGCAGCCTTAGTCGGCACCAAAACACACACTATCAAAACCCATCTTGTCGCTGCTCTTTTTGGCCCTGAGGCGATGTGGACACAGACGAGGAGCTGGACGCTGCCATCTCGGCGCACTCGGCGGCCGAGGAGCGCGTCGCCTCGCTGCGCGCCGAGAAGGAGCGCCTCACGCGCCAGGTGGCCGGCGCGCACGGGGAGAACGGCGCGTGCGGGGCTCGTTCGCGGCGCGGCTGCGCGGCGCCCCCCTCATAGGCTGCCGCGCTGGAAGACCGCGCCGCCTGGGGTCAGGGTTGAGGGTTCGTCCTATCAGCCCATTTCTTGGGCCGCATAACCTTCACCAGCCTCTTCCGTGCCCATCATGCCCTCTGAAAAACCCACAAGCAGTCTCCGCCCCCTGAGAGTCCGGGACCTTCCTCAAGCCTTCAGCTGTTCCTCACCCTCATCCTCGTCCGCCTCCTCCCCCTGCTCCCGACCCCCATTGGCCGGCCGCGTCACCAGGTGACCTATGACTACGGCGCCGACGACGCGTGGCTGGCGCTGGCGTCCCACTGCAGCAGCGCGCGGGAGCCGCAGTACACGTACCGCCTTTGCCTCTTCGACAAGGCCGCGCAGGTCGACAACGGCGCCCACCACGAGACTAGCCTGGGGGTCTGGAAGGGCTTCGAAAAGGGCTACTCAGAGGTGCGCCTTTGTGTGTGTGTGTTTGCTTGCGCGTTTGGGGGCCACGACGGGGGTCGCCGATCGGCTGCGGGCTGACGGTTCGCGGCACGAGCATTGCATAGGGCCAGGGGTTGGTGGGTGGCGGCTGCTTGGGACCCCAGGGCCCCGCTTTGGCCCCTGCGGGCGGCATGGTGTAGGAATGCTGCCCTATCAGCCCTCACCGCCTGCCACCTCCAGCAAAACCAACCAACCTCTCGATCGCACACACGCTCACACCGCCACGCCTCCAGGGCGTGTTTGAGAACGGCGACTGGTGCCACCAGGCCCCGGCCCGCAGCATGCGCGTCCACTTTGAGTGCGGCGAGTCAGAGTCTGCCTGGGGCGCGTCGGAGCCCTCCACTTGCGCCTACACGGCCTCCATGGCCACCCCCGCCGCCTGCAAGGCGGAAGATCTCAAGGCGCTCGAGGACCGCTTGGCAGATCTGGTCAAAGAGGAGGAGGCCCTCGCACGGGAGATTGCGGAAGAGGATGAGGCGCGGCGGGCGGTGTTTGCCGCCCGCGCGGCCGAGGCGGAGGCGGCGGCGGACCATTCCGAGCTCTGACGGTGTTGGGGTCCCAGGGGTCTGTGTCGTGGACCCCGCACCGCTTTTGGGCCGGGCATGCAAGCTTGCGCACAAACAGCGGGCGTAAGCAGCGTGCCCAGACCAGGAGCTGTGGGGTCGTGATGATATCATCAGGCTACATCGCCCCTTTGGCGTCCTCGGCGCCTCTGATGCTTGCGACGTGGGTGCGCTGACTCTTGTGATCTGATTTTCTGTCGCTGCAGCGCTTTGAGTTACAAGTAATCTGGTAGTACAGGCAGAAGAGCAGCGTTGGTATGATGCGCCCCATCGACACCCGTATAACACATTGCGCCGTCTGTGTGTGTGTGTCTGCACTCTTGCGCGCTCGGATGCGTGTACATGTGCGTGTATGTTAGCATGCATTCATGTGTGTGTGTGTGTGTATGTATGTGTGCGTGCGTGTGCATGTATGTGTTTGTAGGTGTAGGTGTGTGTGTGTGTGTATGTATGCTCGTGCGTGTGTGCGTGCGCGCATTCTCTTGATGCACATGATCCTGAGTTGGGTGCTCCAAACGTCAGCCACCAGTACATCCTCATGCATGCTGCTGAGCGGCCAATCAAATGTGCCCTCACAAAACAGAGACTCCATGTCCGCGCCCAGCAAAACGGCCGCGCAGCGGCTATTAAAGGTCAATACTGGAACCACCACCCTTGATTGCATCAGAAACAATCACATCCTCAGCCCTCCTTGGTCTCCAGCAGGTTGCGCCCGGCCGCCGTATCCACCTATTTAGCGGCACGGCAGCAGGCGCAAGTTGGCCAGGGGTTTGCATGGCATCGCGCAATGCACGGCCGCGTGGCGGGGCCGCACCTAGCGCTGTCAGGGCGCCACTGCTGGGCACCTGCTGGTCCCGCAGCTCAGCTTCCTCCCTGCTGCCCTGCCGCATGAGCCTTCACAGACACAATGAAAACCAGGCGGGCTGGGCACGTGCAAGGCCGCCACTCTTGCAACCCATTGCGAACCGCCCCATCCTCTGCAACCGACCATCTCTCAAGCCTTGACATGACTCACCCCATGCACACACACACACTCACTCACTGTCTCTCTCACTCACACACACAAAGCAGTGTACACAGGACCCAGGCACACCACATGCCCAGCCGTCATTACTCCACCCCCCGTCACCTTGATGGGCACCCCCAGATCCATGACGCCCTCCATGGCCCCCTTGAGGGCCGCCATGGCGCTGCCCTCGCGACCCTCGGGCACTTCCACCACAACCTCGTCATGAACCTGGGGAGAGGGCACGGAGGGGTAGGGTGTTGGTGTGATTGTATTCGATGATCAATGTTGACCGTGCGGACTTGCTGGGGTGGATGAGATGGACAATGGGGTGGAGGGAGGGGTGGAGGGCCGGCAAGGGATGGTCACATGGCCGTACTGTGAGAGCAGCAGGAGCAGCGGCGGCAGCAGCAGCAGCAGCAGCAGCAGCAGCAGCAGCAGCAGCAACACCAGCGGCAACTAACAGCAGCAACAGCAACGGCAGCAGCTGCGGCAGAAGCGGCAGCAGCGCCGGCGACTGCCGCACCCGCCTAGAAGCAGCACCACCAGCAGCAGCAGCAGCAGCAGCAGCAGCAGCAGCAGCAGCAGTGACGACTACTGTGGCAACAGCAGAGCCCTGCGGCTCCAGGGGAACACTCACCGTCAGCAGCACGCGGCCGCCCAGCCCCGCCACCTTGTCGCGCACCGCCAGCAGCGACAGCTTGAGCAGGTCGGCAGAGGTGCCCTGGTGGGTCAGTTTTGGGGGGTTGGGAAGGCTGTTTTGTTGAGTGCAGGTCGGGGCTGGGATGAGAATGAGAATTGTTGGCTCAGGGCAAGTAGGCACAGCAATACAATTGAGATGCAACGCTCCCTTGAACAGCTACAAACCAGCCGATGTCCATTTGCAGCCTCATTCAGCCCAACAGCCTTGCGGCATGCCGCGTGGAAGTACGGACCGGCAAGTCAGCAGGCCCCAGCAGCGCGTCGACCGCCGCTACGTACCTGCAATGGCGTGTTTGCGGCCTGCCTCAGGCGCCGTGCGTCGTCCTCCTGCATGGCCCGGTTCGGAGAGGCCTGTGCCAGCCGCTTGAGGTCCTCATAGCCAGGCCTTTTGTGGGGCGGGCGATTTGGGTGTGTGGGAGGGGGGGGTTGGTGCTTCACGGGGGAGGGGCACGCAGGGACGAAGGAAGACGCGGGGGGCCTGAAAGCAGGATGGGGATGGGGGACAAGGGGATATGAGGGAGGGGATGCCGGCCTCAGGCGGTGTCAATGTGAAGATGTACGCAAGGAATTGGTGGATAGGGAAAGGGGCAGTCAAGTGATGTGGCAAGACCCGCAGCCTGCGGGTTGTCGGCAGTTGCCAGATACATACCCGCTGTACGCGCAGCCAGGCACCAGCGCCGGCACCGATCAACGCCTAAGGTGCGACCGCCAGCCTGACATGCGGCACGCACGCCGCGAGCAGTGCCACCGTCGGTGACAGCTGCTTGGGCAGAGCATGCTGTGGGCATTGTCATGGCCTGCATGCCCTGCACGTCAGCGGCCGCTCTGTGCACAAAGCAAGCCGGTCGAGGCTCAGTTGCGCTCACATGCCCGCGACGCCCGAGGGCCGCCCTGCGAAGGCGGTGAGCTGCGGCGCCTCGAACTCGAAGAAACGGCGGCGGCCGCCCACCGACTCCACGCGGCCGTGCACCAGCGCCTCCTGCTGGCAGCGCGACAGGTAGCCAAACACCTGGCGTACAAAAGGGGAACGTCACAGGTGGGGGGAGGCGTGGGGGCCCAGGGCGTGGTGGTGCACACGAGCGAGGCTACACTGGAAGCGCCGGGGCTGGAGCGCAGGGGCTTTTGTTTGAGTGTGCCGTTGAGGCTGAGGGTGGGCTGAGCGGGCTTGACCGAGTGCTAAGGTTATCCGCGGGGTCAGCCGGTGGCTGCGTGCAGCTGCACCAAGCCGCGTGCTGGTGGGGTCAGCGGCGGGGCTACAGGACTGGCAGGCCGGCAGGCGCGGCAGAGTGCCCTTTGCGCACGGATGGGTATGTGTGCCTGAAGCGCTGCAGGAACTCCGCGGCCCTTGTCTTGGGGATGTTGAGCTTCTCAGCCAGGGCAGTGGCACCCTGCGTTTCGGCGGGTCGGATGGAGTTTGTCGCTGGTGACATCCCACGCACCATTATGAACCTGGAATAGCTGGATCACACCCCAGCTTGCCAGCAGCAGGCAAGCGCCCTATCCCTCCTACCCTCCCCTGCCGGCATCCAGTCGAGGCAGGCTGAGCTGGCTTACAGGGCCCAACAGGTGGTGCCCCCCACCTGACCGTAGACGATTCCAAACTGCAGGAGCATGGGATGCGCGGCACAGCACATGGTCGCAGACGCAGGGGGTGTCAGCTGGTGCTGATTGCTAGGCATCATGCGATCCCAGGGATGCGAGTGTATGCGAGCACAGGACCCGGCCCCTGCTGATGTCAGATGAGGGAACATGCTGTTTATTTCTTCTCTCATTTGCAAGCGACCGGCCAGCGCACTCATGCCTGCAAACATACACTCACACACACCCTCGCTTTTTGCCACACACGCCAGCACACCAACCAGAGAAGACGACTCCCCGCCCCCTGCCCTGAGGAGCACCCAGCCAGCCCGGGTAAAAACAACGCAGTCCAGCGCAGCGCGTCTTGAGTCAAAGACGGCACAGCCCAGCGCGCGCCGCCTGTATGGCCACTCACGTTGACCTCCTTGCCGACCTGACGCTCAGTGGGGGTCACCTCCGCCTTGGACTTGTCGAACAGCAGCGAAGCCGTGGTGGCGTGGACGTCCTCATCGCTGGAGAAAGCGTCAACCTTGGACAGCAGGGAACGGAGGGGCCATCAAACATGAGGGGTCGGAACGGGGGCAAGATTTGACCATTTGGGGTAGCTGCCTTGAGCTCTTAGAGGCAGCAATGGTGGCGGCGGCCTGTTGCTGTTGCCCAGCATGCCATCATGCCATCATGCCTCATGTTCCGGTCGATCGCAATTTGCAATCTCTTCTGTCTCGTGACACGTGCAGTCACAGATAAATGCTGTGCGTCCTGCAACAATTCAAACGATACGAGGCAGGGCAGCGAGCTTGTGACGTCCGCATGCACCCACCAGCACGGGCTCGCCGCTGAGGGCCGCCAGGATGCGCAGCTCAATTTGAGAGAAGTCTGTGAGAGTCGGTCGAGGATGATGCGTAGTGTGGGGTGTGTGGAGCATGATGGGTGAGGTGTTTTTGATTGCCAGGGCTTTGGTTGTGGGAAGAGGCGTGAATTTCGATGGCTCAGCAGCAAAGCCGATGGCAATAGCAGCGACGTCGCAGCCAGCAAGGAGGATGCGCGGGCCGCGAGGGGGCAGGGCGGCGCCACCCAGCCAGCATAACCCTCCTCGCGCAGGGGCACACCAGCCGAGACGAGCACATAGCCCGGGCTGGCGACAAAGGCCTGGCGCAGCTGCCTGCCACGCTCCCGCCGGGCAGGGAGGCCCTGCGCAATGCGGTTGCCGTGGGGCGCGGTAAGCTTTGGCCCAGGGGCAGTGGTGGAGCTGTGCACGCAGCAGCTTTTCCGTGAGAGAGAGACGGGTTCCAACAAGGCAGTCAATTGAAACCCAGGTCAACGAACCAACCTCTCCTTCCCCGCCCCCGGGAAACCCGGGGGCGGCGAAGGAGAGGTTGGTTCGTTGAATGCAACAATCCCCTTCGCGCAGTCCCGTCAGAGCCTGGGCCAGCCCTCGGATGCAGCCATGCACCACATTTGCCACAGTGCAACAACACAGCAGCACAGGGGTCATCCGGCATTCGTTGGTCCAAGATGCCGATGGAAACGGCGTCGCGGCGGCCGAGCAGCCGAGCAGCTCGCAGAAAGCGCGCCTGCATGTTGGGATTGACGCCTGACAGGCGGCCCGTGGCCGCGCCCGTCTGGTTGACAATCGCGTGGATGCGGTTGCCCGGGGTGACGAAGCGCCGGAACGTGTCGAACTTGTAGTACCTACGAGTTCCAATGACGAGGGAAGTGGCAGGGGGGGAGTTCACTTGCGGGGGCCAGGCCTGCTAGCTGTGTGGCGCTGCCGTCCTGTGCAACTGGTCAACCCCTGCCTGGGCCCGCCCCAGCCCGCTCGTCAGACGCTCGCGAGCAACAGCCGCAACGGTGTGCCATCAAAGCGTCAATCCTACCACCCACAATGTCATCCTCGCGCCCTCGCACATTACCACTACAACCAGCAAGCGCCTCGAGGGATCTCGCACTCTGCATAAAATCAAACCCAGGTAACCTTTGTTTGCAGCTGCCTGCTCACCGCTTCAGGAGGTCTTTCAGCTCATTGAGCTCCATCAGGGGCTCTATCACAGGGTGGAACCCCCGCAGCTGCTGAAGCACCTCCTGCAGGGGGGCAGATGGACGGACCGGGGGAGGAGAGAGCGGCCACATGCACAGGGGCAACGCGCGGCGCCTTGAAACTTCCGACGAGCGCCCAAGGTTCCACAAGATTAGGCTGCCGAATGGCGTCGCGGCCTGCTTGCAAACCGCAGTAGTGTGCGGCAGCTGCAGGTGTGGGGATGACGCATTGCAACCAGTGAGCAGCAGGGCCGCGTTGATCCCCTTCCCCCTTCCCCGCCGGCCAGCAGCTCGCCTTTTTGACGCTGAGCCGGCCAGTGGGTGTGGCCTTGGTGGACTGCAGGCCGAGGTCCTCAAACAGCACTGCACGCAGCTCCTGAGGTGGGGGTTGTAGAGGCCAGACGCGGCAAGCGTGATTGCAGACCCGGCGCGCGCATGCACAGCAAACCCAAGGTTGAACAGCTGTCAGACGACCGGCAGGTGGCAGAGTCGTCGTGCCAACACCAATTGATGACGCAACCGTTCAAAGGGATCGCGTCCGAGCGGACAATGCGGGTAGCGCCGTTCTGAACGCGCAGCGCCGTCTCATATATCATCGATCCCAGGGAGACGCACGTCTGCTGAGTCGACGTTGAAGACACGCCCTGCCAGCCGCCACACGTCCTGCGACAGCGCTGCCACCTCGGCCTGCGGGTCGGTTGTTGGTTTGCGGGGGGGATATGTCAGTGTATCTGTGATTTGATTTGTTGTGCAAGCGCATGACACACACCCATGATTGCGAGGGGCCACGCAGGGGCCCAGCGGCAGGCTATGTTGTTGGCCTTGCTCTGGAGGCAAGGGCACGCCTCACCCCTGGGAATGCAGCTGCGGCCTCACCTCCATCCTCGCTGCCTGCTCGTCAAACAGGACGCGGTCAACCCCCACGCCGTTCAGCTCCATCTCAGCAAAGATCGGCTGTTGAGGATTGAACAAGGTTGTGCGCCGAGATGATCGGGGGACCGATGGATTTGTGCAGTGTAGCAGCCGCACCGGGCATTGCCACAGTTGCAGAGTTGCATGACGCAGGCTGCACGCACTGCTGGCAGCAGGCAAGAAGGCATGGCATGGACAGATCTCATGGAGACAGATCAGGACAGAACAGATCAGATCAGATCAGATCAGATCAGCCAGGTCTCACCTGCACGGGCAGCTCCACTCCACAGTACAGGTGCATGAGGCGCGGCCCTTCCGCCAGCTGCCGCACTAGCGGCCCCCGCAGCAGGTGCACAGCCCACGCGCCCGCAGCCAGCAGCCTTTCCGCCGGCGCCAGCCGCGGCGGCCCCCCGCCCGCGGCCCCTGCGCCGCCGGCCGCCACCGAGGCAGCAGCAGCAGCGGCATCGGCGGTGTCGCACAAGATGTCTGCCATATCGTCCAGGCGGGCTCCGAGGACTTGAGCCGCCAGAGACGGCAGCTGCTTGATCACCTGGCGTGTGCAGAGGTGCGGCACTCAGTGATTGGTACACCGGAAATATGCCGGGCTGGGAACCGTTGCGGGCCTGGGTGTATTCCATGTCTCCATCTTCTTGTCGAAACGCAGCAGTCTGCCGTCTCAATACCACTCCATGCACACGGCAGGCAGGTGCTCAGGGTGCACAGGCAAGGCACCGGTTGCAATGAAATTGCCGTCATTACCCGTTTGGTGGCGTCCTGCTTGTCCGCGCGCGCGCCGTCGCGGCCGGTCCAGGCGTCGGGGTCCAGCACAAACCCCGCCACCACAGTGTCAAACGCCACGCCTGGCGGAGCGCATGCGGCCAGATTGGTTGCTGAGCTGGGATGGTCTGCAGTCTCGGGGTTTCAGCGGTGTGACCGGCGGTGGCGTGCAGATGTCTGTTGGGCCGCAGTGCAGCAGAGGAAGCAGCGCACCCACTCCTTGGAACCGGCTGCATGTCCTGGCAAGCTAATTGACCTTAGTTCTCGCAGGGGGCCCTTCCCCGGGATGCCCTGGCCGCTCACCTTCCAGGGGACACCCCAGCCTGGAGAGCTCCACAATTGCCCGCTTCGACTCGAAGAGGCATTTCATGGGGCCGCCCGCCCCCAGCACCGGCCGCAGGGCGTCGAACACGGCAGAAAAACTGAGGGAACCGCCCGCCACCACCACTGCCAGCCGCGGCCGCGCCGGCGCATCGGGCGGCGGCGGCAAAGGAAGCAGCGAGGCGGCGCCGACGGCGCGGGGCCCGCGACCGGCGCCGCCGTTGGCGGTTGGTGGTGGTGGCAGCCGCCTGGGCGGCCTGGCCTGCCGAGCCGCCTGCTGCGGCTGCTGAGGCTGCTGAGGCTGCTGCTGCGGCTGCTGCGGCTGCTGCGGCTGCTGCGGCTGCTGCGGCTGCTGCGGCTGCTGCGGCTGCTGCGGCTGCTGCGGCTGCTGCTGCGGCTGCTGCGGCTGCTGCGGCTGCTGCGGCTGCTGCGGCTGCTGCGGCTGCTGCGGCTGCTGCGGCTGCTGCGGCTGCTGCGGCTGCTGCGGCTGCTGCGGCTGCTGCGGCTGCTGCGGCTGCTGCGGCTGCTGCGGCTGCTGCGGCTGCTGCGGCTGCTGCGCCTGCTGCGCCTGCTGCGGCTGCGGCGGCTGCGGCGGCACCATTTGCTGTGGCTGCGGCGTCGCCACCCTGGAAGGCTGCTGCGGCAGGCGCTGCGGCGGGGCTGGTGGTGCTGGGTTTGGTTGCTGTTGCCCGTCTGGTGATTGCTGCCCCTGGTGCTGAGGTGGCAAAGCAGTGAGTGGCTGCTGCTGCCGTTGCTGCTTGGGCTGCTGCTTGGGCTGCTGCCTGGGCGTAGATCTGCTGGATAGGGTGGGAAGGCTGGCCCGCCTCCTGACAGGGCGACCACTGGGAGCAGGTGCCAGCTGCTGCTGCTGCTGCTGCTGCTGCTGCTGCTGCTGCTGCTGCTGCTGCTGCTGCTGCTGCTGTTGCTGCTGTTGCTGCTGTTGCTGCTGCTGAGGCTGCTGGGGCTGCTGGGGCTGCTGAGGCTGTGTTTGCTGAGGTTGTTGCAGCTGCTGATGCTGCACCTGTGGCTGCTGCTGGGGCTGCTGCTGTGCTTGCTGCTGCATCCAACGCTCGGCATGCAGCTGAGGCCATAACTGTGGCTGTTGCTCCTGTTGCTGCTGAGCCCTCGGCTGCAGGGGCGGCTGAGGCCTTGGCTGCGGCGGCTGCTGAGGCCTGGGCTGCGGGTGCTGCTGAGGGCTTGGCTGCTGCTGCTGCTGCTGCTGCTGCTGCTGCTGCTGCTGCTGCTGATGCTGCTGCTGCTGCAAGGTCCACGATGGCGAGGGCGGCGCATGCTGCTGTGAAGGCTGTGATGGCACCACCCAGCCTGCGACCTGCGACTCAGGTGCTGCTATGACCGCCGTCGCGGGTGCAGCCCCGCCAATAACACTGCCACTGGCACCACCCCTGCCACGCGTTGCCACCTGCCACGGCTTGCGCCCGTCTGGCCCCGCCGGCACCGGCAGCGGCTCCCACCGGCCCCGCTCCTTGCGCTGCTGTTGCGCCGCCTGCAGCGCCGCGGCCAGGATCGAATCCTCTCGGGTGGGCGAGGCGTCCCAGCACAGGCAAAAGGCGCTAGGCGCCGCCGGCACGCTTGAGGGATCGTAGGTCGACTGCTGGTTGAAGAAGATAGTCACGGGCGTGTCGCGCTGGCGCCGTTCAATGGGTTACGGTTTGAGAGGGTGCAAGGGGGCGGTGTGTGTGAGTTGGGAGAATAGGGTGGCTTTGGGGCGCAGGCGGTGCCACCAGGCTCGCCCCTTGGAGCCCCCTGCTGAGCCCGTGGTCGTTGCTGAATCACCCATACTCATGCTGCAGGACTGGAATGCAGTCCCTGAGAAGTGAACAGATCAAAGACCAACATGCCAGTAGTGTAGCATAGCACTGGGACATTCTCAGTATCACACGACACATAAACTATCCTTTCAAGGGAGGCCGCTCCACAAGAAACCGCGGCTCACCCTGAGGCCCATCAATTCTGCAGCCAGCCGCCGCAGCGCCTCTGGCGTCTCCACCACCTCCATCACTGGCGCCGCAGCCGCAATTTCTCCAGGCACACCGCCCTCCGCGCCGCCCTCGCCCCACCTGCCCCCAAGATTCTTGAAGTCGATCGCCTCAGCCCCGCCGCTGCTGCTGCTGCGCTGCCGCCGGCCCGCTGCCTCGGACCCTCCGTGCTCCCCGCCCACGCTCCGCGGCGCCGCCTTCCGGAGGGCGGGCGCGGCTGCGACTGCTGGACCAGTTCCTAGACGCTGGAGGGCGGAGGAGATCGCCGCCGCGGCTGCGTCGCTGGGTTCGGCGGCGGCGCCGCCCAGGGCGGCCCTCAGATCGTAGATGCCGTCAAGGATCGGCGTCATGCCGAGGCGCCGCAGGAGCGGCTCAACCTCGGCCACGTCAAAGCCGCCCTGCGTCAGCAAAGTTGGCGGGCCGAGGGCGTGGGTCAACAACCGCCTGCAGCAAATCAAGCCATCCAGCTGCTTGGCACAGGCAGTCGTTGCGCTCGAGATCAGATATGCAATTGCTGCAGACACATCACAGAAAGGCGTCGCGGCGGCGGCCTGGCGCGGGACATTGACCCGTTTTTCATGAGGACTCCGTCGGACGCTCCTTTTCCTCACCAGCACGAGAGAGCCTGGCTCCAAGCCTGGCAGCACCTCACACCTGACGCGGGTGATTAGTGAGGACTGGGACGCCGCACTGCAGAGGCTAGGCAGCAGCTGAGGTGACAGCCATCCCTTTGCACCCCCCCCTATGATCCAGAAGGCCCCCTGCCCAGCTCCTGAGCGCCCCGGCGCAATCACTGACGCCAACGCTGGCGGCTCACTCTGTTGCGTGTGCAGCCCTTCGACACAAAACTCACTTGACCTTTGCCAACTCATAAGCCGCCAGCACCTGCTGCCTGCCATCCCTCAGCTTCGCGGCCACCGACGGCTTCAGCGCCCCCGCCGCCCGGACAGGCCCGCGCGCCCGCCTCGCCGCCGCGCCCGTGTCGCCCGCGCCCGCGAGCTCCAGGAGCGCAGGGATGGAGCCGTGGTGCTGCAGCAGGCCGGCCGCGGTCGCAAGGCCGATGCCCGGGATGCCTGGGATCGGCACCCTTTGGTCGTCGTTGCCGGCCAGCGCGAGGCAGTCGGCGACCTGGGGGGCGCAGGTGCGCATGCATGTACGGGCGGGGTTTTGGGAAGCCGCGACCAGCTGCAGGCGGGCGCCCGATTCAGTGCATGCACGGCAAGAGTCTAGCATGAAAGCTGCCTGCACAGGCAAGCTGCGAGGCAGCGGGCTTTCGTCTCCACCGTGCAGCACACACGCCAGGGTGCGCCTGCTCGGCCACGACGCATTCAAAGCTTGCAGAAAAGCTACGCAGTGTATGTGCTCCAGCACCGGCGTTGCTCACCAGCTGTGGCGGCGCCCCAATCTTGGCCAGGACTTGCGCTCCCCCGATTTCGATCATGTTGCCCGTCCCGGCCCCCATGCTCGGTGGCATCGCCGGGATCGTGCGCACACGCACCTGATCGCGGCACAGGCGAGTGATAGGATGCTTTCCCGGTAGTGCCCAGCAGGCGCATGGTTGGAGGCCAGCCGGCCTGCACACGATTTTAGACCGCTGCGCAAAAAGCGGCCCGAACTCAGCTGCAACGGCCACTCTTCATTTCAGCCCCCCGCCCATCCCATCGCCCCGCACTGCGCGTTGCCCCCCAAACACCTCCCAAGGCGTGACAGCCGCCATCGCTAGGCGCGCATTGTCCCCTCGCTGCCCCTGCGCACCCCCAGGGCGTCATCCACGAGCTGCCAGGCCCTGCGGTCCCCCGACACCACCACCACCTCGTAGCCGGCCGCGGCGGCGGCGGCAGCCGCGGAGGCGATGATGTCGAGCCCCTTCAGGCCTGGGGCGCGACGGAGAAGGCTTTTGGCGAGGTGAGCGGCGGCGCGAGCGAGGGACGCGGCGCAGGGAGTGCTGCAGCAGCTGCGATCGACGGAGCGTGCGTGCGGTGCAAACAGGTGCAAAGAGGCGCAGGGGATGCAGCTGGACGAAGGGTCCGAGACGGCAGGGCTGCACGGGCGTGGCGCCCAGCACGGCAAGCTCCACCAGCTTCGTCTCAAGGGCGCCGCCCCGCGCGGCCACCTCACCCGGGCCGCTGCCCTGCTGGATCCTCATGCCGGCCAGCAGGGCCCGCAGGTTGCGCATGTCGACCTCAAATCCGCTGGCAGCAGCGCTCCTGGGCGCCGACTCCTCGGCGACCGCCCTGCCCCCGCCCTTCGTCCTGCCGGCGCCTGCCAACCCATCCGCGACCCCGGCGGCCCCTTCCAAAGGCTGCTGTGGCTGCTGCTGCTGCTGCTGCTGCTGCTGCTGCTGCTGCTGCTGCTGCTGCTGCTGCTGCTGCTGCTGCTGCTGCTGCTGCTGCTGCTGCGGTGTCGGTGGCGGCGGGGCGCCGTCGGGCGTCGGCCACGGGTCGAAGGCCACTGCCAGGGCCTGGGGCTGCTCCAGTGTCAGGGCGGCGTTGAGGACCCGCAGGAAGCCGCTGGACTGCGCGTAATTGTGTGAATGCGCAGCGGGGCGGGGGGGGGGGGGCGCCCCTCGGATGGCGCGGGCATGGGAGCTGCACACAGGCTGGCGGGGCCTTTTCCCCCACGCAGGCAGCCGTCCGGCGGCGCACGAGGGGTTGTGCTTGTCGCGCTCATGCAAATTGCTGCATACACTCGTATGCCTGCATGCCTGTTTAGCGGCGTGCAAAGGCATCCCATGCCTTAGCAAGCTGCGACAAAAGTTTCTCATCAATTGTCGTGCCTCGCACGCACCACATTGGTAGGGATGCCGTCGGCGCTGCGCAGGCCGGGAGAGACCCCCGTGCTGAGCGCGAGATGGCACCTGGATATTTTAGGCGGGGTAGGGCTTGAGGGCATCCCGCGGCTGCATTTCTTTGAGAGACTGCAGCGGCGGCCGTTCGGGTCCAGGCGCGCTGCACCTCAATCGACCCGCCAACAAGCATGAACCAAGCGACGCCGGCGGCAGGACCCCCCACGTCTAGCACGCAACAGTTGCAATCACACCTGTATGCCAGTGAGTGCCCGTCCACGAGCATCAGCTTGGGCCTGGAAGCTGCCGCCACCGCCGCCGCTGCGACTGCTGCCGGCGGCACCGCAGGGGCCAGATCTTGAACGTGCGTGTGCACTGCGCAGCGCCTTGGGCTGCGGCGCACGCAGATCCTACCAGCATAGTGCGCAACGGGAAGTACTGGATGGCGTACGGACCTTCCATATGCGTCATGGGCTGGTATGCATGTCGAGCGGCATACTGCAGGCGCAGTTGCACCCGGGGTGTGACTCGAGGCGCCGATGAGCGACAGTGCTGGCAGCCGTCCGCCGCTGGCACACGCCAATCTCAATGTGTTTGGCTGCATTCAAATTCAAATCACGAGCTCCTCAGGCGCAACGAGGCAGGTTTTGCAACAGGTCTCGTGAAACGCGAGAAGCGCGCAGTGGTCGCAGACACAGCACATGAGAGCGATTGAGACAATGAAACGTGGACTCACGCGGATTAACAATAGGTGAGATGAGCAAGATGAATTGCAGGGCCGCAGCCGCAGCTGGTCAAGCAACAGGAGCGAGGTCAATGCAGTATAAACTCAGTGGAGTCACTGCGTGACGAGGGCCACGATTGCATCCAATGTGGGCACAAGTGGCCATCCTTCAAAACATTCTGGCCAACACACAGAAATCCTTGACGCTGAGCACCGGTCAATCGACCAATGAGGCTCCTTGATCGACACGCAAAGGTCCCCGCAGGCGCCAGCGTCACGGCGAACGCTCCGCCTGCAGCCTGGGCTGGCTAAGGTGATGCAATGGGGCGGCCATTACTTTCAGCAGTGGGCCCCCAACCAAATAGGTGGACGCAGTGTGCCCATAGCGACCCAATCGTCTGGCTTGAGGCCCTATGGGCGCCTGCAGCAGCCGGTGCAGTGAGGATGGATGCGCGGCCGCGGCTGAAGCGGCGGGGTCGGTCGCTGCAACACGACCCTCTATGCGGCGAGGCGAGCAAATTTGGAGGATGCCCCATGCCCGCATGCACTTCATGACCATGAGACCAGCTGCTGCAGCCCGCCGCACTTGTCGAATGGCAGCGGCGCGTCCCCGATTCTTGCTTTATACACCTTGTGACGGACGAGGTCGTGAGCCCAGTCATCGCAGGCAGCGCGCTACGCCGGATGCCCCACGCGCGCTGGCCGTCTCACGCCGAGCCCTTTCAGGCAGGGCAGCCTGTATAGGGCCACAGGATCATCAAGCTCAAGCGCCTCACGTCGATCAACATCGCCAAGAACGCGAGGGTCGGCGCAGCAGTCGGCAGCGCGACGGCAAAGCGCGGGGCGGACTGGGCCGCAGCGGTCTCCTCGCTGCGTGGCGCAGCGGCCCCGGCGCTGGTACCGCCGCAGCAGCCGCTTGCTGGGTGAGAATATTTCAGTAATTCATGGCGTCCAGGGCGCAACAGCGCCAGCTGCTCAGCCGCGGGCGGAACGCAGCACACGCTGCGGTGCGTGCTCTGCTGGCATGGGTCACGGCCGCTCAGCTCGGCAGCACAGCAGAACACACGCGTATATGAAACTTCACATGTCAGCCTATCAAACTAAGATGGTTTATTGGTTGTCTAGAACGTGTACGTCCCAGTGAGAAGCTCTGCCGCACGTCGAGCACCGTTTCGGAGATCACTGCATCGCTGGATGATTTTAAACTGGCGCTATTACATACCATAAGACTTACTTGCTCGTCTGTGTGAACCGCCTGAAGTTCTCAACTACGTGAGAACGCATCGCCGGCGTCGACGCTGTTCAGGTGTTGGCGCCAGCTCAGCTGCTGAGCAAAGCGCTTGTTCCATGTTGGGGCGACAGCAGACACCGAGCGCAGTGCGCGCACTGCCCAGCATCGTACAACCCGGGCGCATCCTGCTACCCCGCAAGTTGAGGCGCCCCGCTCCGATTCGCGTGGCCACGCCCCTCGGTAGGTCCACGGGCCAGCCAGGACAAATCCCGCCCGTAATCCCCACATTTCCAGGGGTGATGACACCTGAAACTTCTCTGTGATGCATCATCAATACTCCCGTAATCATCTCCGTTGCGCTGGGATTTGTGGCTCGCACAGGAGCCCGAACGACAGGCAATATCCTCTCAAGGCCCTGTGCACCCCAGCTTCCCTCAAGCTGCAAGCCCCTGCCCACGCTTGCACACGTCCGCACACACCCAACACTCCACAACCATTGACAATGACGCACGCTCATGTTCTAACACACACACGCGCACCCATGCACACACACATGCACGCGCCCACACCCACGCGCATCAGCACCGCAACCCTTACCACCCCCCTACACCCCCAGAATCGACCGACCTGGATGTTGAGGCGCGTGACCCCCGTGACCTGGGTGTCTACGTCTTCGGCGAGCGCACCGCGCTGCACGTCGGCTTCCAGGGCCCGGGGTGGACGCTGGACAAGAGCCCCGAGACAGGCTACATCTTTTCACTGGTTGACTACGCCAGGTGAGCGGGGCCACGTTTTTGGCAAGTCAGGGCCCCGGTTCTGTGGAAAGCAGCGTCCAACAAGCATGCACAGGTGGCTCAGGTGTGCACCAGAGGGGCAGCGGGGCGGTGACAAACCGGGCTTGCTCGGCTGGCGGCGTTGGCTTGGGCAGCCTGCACGCCATGGGCACAGGCAAATTGCTGAAGTCTGCAATGATGTAAGCACCACCATCCATGATCCTCCACACATTCTCGTGCCCCAGCCCCGGCCGCGTGCGCCTGGCGTTCGGCTCAACGGTGGGCAAGGACGACGCCGGGGATACTGTGTACGACTGGGGCCGCCGCGGCTGGGGCGGCGACGACCACTGCCTGTCAAATTCGTTGGGGGACGAGAAGCCCCGGTTCTACCTGACAGCGCGGCAGACCGCGCAGATCCTGGCGGCACCGTGGGCGCAGCACAGCTTCGGTGGGTGTGTTTGTTGCCAGCATGGCCCCGTCAAGTGGTTATGTCTGCGCGTTTCAGTGTGTCAGGATGTGTTTTGTGGTCTCGCGTGAGTTCGCGCATGTGCATGAGTTGTGCAGGTGCGGGACTAGTGTGTGCTTGCTTGCTGGGGCAGCTCTTGACCGTGGGGCCACGCGGCTCAGCACCAAGAATCCTCCTTTTCCACTACTTGGATGACAGCGCCACTCACACCGCCGACATCTGCTCATGTTGCATGCCCACTGGCACTTTGTGGACATGCAGACTTTCATTTCAAGGGCTGGCGCGGCGACAAGGATGGATGCCCAATTATTCAGGTGGTGCATGCATCCTGCCCGGCTGTTGGGGTGGCTGTTAGTTACTCGCGACGGTGCACGTCACTGGCCGCTAATGCTGGGTGCCTGGCACGCCGGCAGGGCCTGCCTCGTGCCCTCCCAAAGGCCGGTCCCCAAACCTTGCGTGCCCCTCCAACCACACATTGTTTTCCTCCCTTTCCCTTCTTGATTGCTGGTCCAGAACGAAAGCGACCGCACTGGCGGCATCGCCATGACCAAGACGCTGACCTGGACGCCCCTGCCAACCGCCCCTCTCAATGGAGCCAATGTCAGCAGCGCAGCGCCCAGCAGCAGCAGCAGCTCTGGCGCTCGCGGCGGCTGCGGCGGATGTGCCGCCTATGAAGTGTCGCTGTCCCTGCACTGCAGCGACGGCTTCTCCGCCGCTGTGCGGGCAGAGCTGGATCCTGCAGACTACCTAATCTTTGAGGAGTGCGTGAGGTTTGCGATCCCGCACCTGCTGGGGCTGCACGGCGCGTTCCGGCTGCCTGTGAGGGAGGACTACGAGCAGGACATGATCTTGTAGGCTAAGCAAGGGTGTCGTCGGGTCGATAGTTTGGGGTTGCATGATTGAGCGAGTGGGTCGTGAGGCACTCAACGCGCACCCATTCCAGTTGGTATCAGCTGCATTGCTGGTTGCACCCCCGCTGGTGCAACGTCGCCTGGCGTTCCGACAGCTCCAGGCGCAGCTGTAAACTTTAAATGGGGAAAGCGGTGGGCGGCCAAAAAGAAGTCGTATGCTGTCAACATGCCAGCTGTGCCTGTTTGACAATCTCCTGAAGCTCGGTCCAAACGCTGGCGTTGAGCAGATTTGCCGTGTAGCCAAAGCGGAAATTGATTACAGAGATAAATATGAGCACGCGGCCCACACCCACATGGGACGCTACCAAATTCGCAAAACGGTTCACAGAGCCTGCAGGCGGGGCGGTGGGAATGAGGTGAGGGGGACGGGTGGTGCGAGACAAGTTGTGAATTGACAAAAGGGTGGATGAATGCTTTGAAAACGGAGCAGCCATGAATTGAATGAGCTGAGTGCGGTCAGCCAAGCGTAGCAGATGAGCAAGTTACGTTGACAGGCCACATCGCTCAATCGCACCTCGATGTTTGGGAAGACAGTGCAGATTCAAGCGCACGCCTTGCCATCATCAACAACGTCGTGGCAGGCCCCAGGCAAGCAGCCCAAGGGAAGATACCATCGCCTGTAAGCAGGCAGCGAGCCAGCAAGGCTCCAGAAGGGCCGCGTGTGCCGTGGCCCTCATGGCATCAGCCAGCTCCCGCATCCTTCCGCAGGTGCAGTATTTTCAGGCACTCCTCGTCGGCGCCACGCTGCAGTACGACAGCGCCTGAGGCGTGAGGGGGGCATCAAACGTCGCGCTTTTCAGTCGCCACCACTCAGGTTGTCACCCCTCAAGGATGGTGCGCCGGCAATCCAAGGCGGCGAGGCCCGCTAGACACAGTGTTTGCTCAAATCGTGGTTGCAGCTCGCCGGTGTGGTGTGGCGAAGCAATCGCAACAGCCCCACTGGCCGCTGACCTGTCAATCCTTGGCTCGACAACGCCTGGATGATCTCTGTGGGACGATGAGGTTGCGGGGTCCGCAGGTTCGGGCAAAGGGGAATCCATGTAAGCGGCCATGCCGAATTGGACGCAAGCACCGCTCCTGCATGCGACACACGCGGTCGTTTGGGTCGGGCTCAGGCGTCCAATATGATGTGTCACGTGCGCTCTTCTCGATCGACTCACCCTCGGGCTCATTCTCCAGCACGGTCACCATAAAGAAGTGGCCTCCCGGCGCCAGCAGGTCCGGCAGCTGTGGCCGCGGATGCGCGCACACAGTCGCGGGAAGCGGCAGGGTCAAAGCAGGGAGCTGCAGTGTGGGTGCGCTGTGCCGTTTTCGGGCCCAAGCTACCCTTGGCACACCCCGACACATGTATCGCTCTAGGTTGCATCGCGTGCATGCGCCCAAATACCCGAAGACCTCAGACATCGTCACGTCATGTGTGGAGCCACACCCGCCATCCCCTCACCAGTGGCAGCACCCGGTCAATGACGCGCCGCCCGCGGTAGCCGCCCGCCCAAGCGCGCGCGATGCCGTCGCGCTCCACCTCCTCGTCGGGCGTTGGCACGTATGGCGGATTGAACAGCTGTGGCGGGGCGAGCGTAGTGGAAGGTGGGTCGCTGATATCAAATCCCCACATCCCAGGGCCAATGCAAACGGGCGGCAAAAGAATCGGCGACGAGCTGCTGATAGACGCCTCGCCACGATCAGCAGGCACGAGCGGCTGATAACTCTGCCCTCGGCTCTTGGTTGTAAACTTGCCGCTGCAGCCTCTGCTGCGAACGGACCGTTCTACCCGTGAAAGGGGCCGGGCCGCCCACCAGCAGGTCTATGCAGCCCTGCAGCCGAGTGCTGAGGGGTCCCAGAAGGTCGGAGCGCACAAGGTCCACGCCTGAAACCTACCAGAGTTTCAGGTGATGCTTTGCTCTATTGGCCCGATGATTGATGCAGGCTTTAGCAAGGGCGGTGGTGACTAAGGTGAAGCAGCCGCCCATGTCAAAACGCCCGCCTGTGGCGGGGCGGCGCGCACACACGGCTGCTTCAACCTATGCTGCGTCTACCATGGCCGGGGGCCGCACCTCGTGTGCCGCGAGCGTCCGGGCGGTGGCAGCCAGCGCAGGGGCGCTGATGTCCACCGCGAGGAAGCTGCTGCCTGGCGTCCGATCAGCCGCCGCGGCCGCCTGGCGGAGCGCAATCGCTGCAGAGCAGATGACGTACCCGCTGCCACAACCGACCTCCAGGACCCTGGAAGGGGTTGCATGTGGAGCACAACTCAGTGCCTGCCTGAATTGCAGCGTGCCTTGCGCTCTCAACGCAAGTGTTCTGGGGGGCGCGGCTGCGCTGTTTGTGACCACAGGCTGCCCGGCACTCACACCCGCGGCGATCCTGCCTTCACAATGCCGGGTAACTGCTGCAGCAGGGCGTCCACCAGAGCAAAGCTGTCCTGCGTGTTGGTAATGGGGCGACGCGACGCGCCGGGAGCCTCAATACTTGTTAGTTGCCGCACCACCGCTGCTGCGGCGCATGCGCGCGCCAGTGGTTGACAGTCCTGCGACAAACATAACCAGGCACGCACGTCTGAGGGCTCGTATACTTCTCTGTTCCATGTTGTAAGCGATATCTTGGCTGCCATCCACAGAGATCACAAAGATCTGGTTGTAGTCGACGATGTCGGGTTGTGCTCAAATTTACAAAATAGGGTAATTCATGGGATGTGTGTCATCAAACTTACACTACTTTTACGGCCCTTCGAGCAGATTTCCATCGCACCTTCCGGCCAGTTTCGACACGTCCTGGACACGTCCTACCTTCTTCTTTCGAACATTGGGCGCTTTCGGAACTCAAATCAGGACATCGCATTGCTTCAACAAAACCATCTTGATCATAAACAACGCACGCAACCACCGTCAGCCAGTGTCAAAGGTCAGAATCAGAATCATGAACACCGTGCAATCCCGGCCGCAGGCCGCGTGGGATTGCAGAAAACTTGAAAATCAAAGGATGTTTGTCTCACACTCTCGAAGCTGCAGCCCCCCTCTGCTGGGCAGGCGCCGTTGGCGCCCTGCGTGCGACACGATGCCGCAAATCGATGATGGTGAGAGTCGGTCTCGCCGCTTGCATACAGGCTGAAATGTGTTGAATATTGCTTGGTGACACTGAGAGGGCTCTCAGGGGGCGTGTCCAGCAGCACGACGCTTCCGAGCGGCCGATTCTGTCCGGCGACTCACCTGTGACCAGGCGTTCTCTGCACGATCACTCGCAGTCACGCTCAGGCGCGCCCGGCACACGCTGTTCCCTCACCCTGCAGGCTTGAGGGCATCAACGCGGTCCGCCGCAGTCCTGGAGCGGGTCCCAACGGGACCAGCGGCAATCATCGTCACTGGCTCCGCCGCCCTGGCGGACTGCCCTCCCCTCCTTGCGCCTGCCGCCACCCTGCAGCAGCCGAATGCCCACCAGCGGGCGCTGCGCCGCCCCCATCCCCTCCTCGGAAACGACCTTGACGTCAGCGCGGCCCGCGCCGCCGCAGACCCCTGGGGTTGGGCACACGCGGCGCAGGCGTTTGTGCGCGACGCCGAGTCGCTCCGCCGCCAGCTGCAGGAGCGCGAGCGCGCCGCGTCGCTGCGCAAGCAGCGCGCCTCCGCGGCACTCGACGCCGGGCAGCCCGCTGCCGCCGCGCGCGCCGCGGCGGCGGAGCGGCTGGCCGCAGCGGCCGCGGCGGCGCGGCGCAGC